AAGCCTTCCTGGCTAGCTCCTTTCTACCAGGCTTTAAGCAGAATGCCAGAAGCACTGGAACGAAGCAGTCTTATACTAAAGATTCATTGTCTTTATTGAATTATACTAGACATGAAAAACATTTACAAATATTATGTCAGTTATCCTTTTTAAGTTTTTATGTGCATGAGTGTTCTGCCTGCACCTATGTAAGTGTACCACATGCATGCAATGCTCATGGAGGACAGAAGAGGGCATCAGATGCCCCAGAACTGGAGTTATGAATAGTTGTTAGCCTCCATGTGGGTGCTGGGAACTGAACTTGGGTCCTCTGCATGAGTAGCCAGTACTCTTAACCACTGAGCCATCACTTTAGTGGCCCCCCCTTCTTTTCTTAAGAGAAGAGTCACTGTTGGATGCAGGGATGTGATCTGAAAAATGTTAGAGGGCTTATAGAGGTGACAAAACCAAGGGAATGCAGCACAGTGCTGTGGGGTTCTCAAAGAAGGGACCCAACTACTCTGGAAGAACACAGAGCTTTGTGTCTTGAGAAATTAACAAGAAGGAAATGCAGGTGAGTTACAAAAGCTATAAAGATGAAAAAGACAGTTTTGCCCTTGGAAAGGGAGAAAGAGTAGAGGCAACAGCCACAGTGAGGCTGGGAAGGAAGGACACATACTGGAGGACATCTGTCAAGCCTGAGGTGCAGAAAGGCTTCCTAGAGAAGTTACCATGCATGCAAACTGAAAGAATTAGAGGTACCTGGGGCAAGTTCACATCAGGGACAAAGGTCAGTAGGTGCCCTGGAGCAGACGCTGGGTTCACTGGAGGAGCTCTGCAGTCTTATTATGTCCTGTCCCAGAGCCAGATGAAGGGAGCTGAAATTAGACTGGGGGCAGGAGCCAGGAAGAAGTGCCCATCCTGTCTGTGGACAAGGAGTAGTGACGAAGGGTATGTCAGATGGTTTTTTTTAATGAAGTCAGTCCTGATACCTAGTAGAGATTATTGCACTAGAGAGGAACAGGATCTAAGATCTAAGAACTGAGCACCCTCTGGGCCATATCGCTCTGTAGGCCAGGTTGAACAGTCTGTTCCTGGGGAAGACAGACAGATTCTACATTCCCTTTCTCCTGCCCTGACACAAACCTCCTCCCTGCAATCTTCGTACTCCAAAATGCCACAGAACTTACAGCTTTCCCTCAACTGCCATAAAACCATGGTTATTGCTTCTGAAGACCAAGGAGGAATCCAAGGTTTTGAGACCTGACACCTGGGAAGTGACTGAAAACAAAGTAGGAGAAGAGAGTGGGGAAGGTGGGGCTCAGAGCTCTCATGTACTGAATTATGACGTCATACACAAACTTGTACAACTAAGACATCTAAAAAGAGATTTTGGATACTCCCTCCTGGACCTTCTGCCTGGGCTTGGCTCTTCTTTATCCCTTGAATTCTAAGAATGCTGTAAATGTTAGTTTCCTGGTAAGCAGTAGAAGAAAAAATATTTACTTAGTACTTAGTACTGTGTGCATTACAAAACCAGATTCAGGAGAAATTCTCTGTCCCTGTTTATCAAATGAGAAGGCTAAGACCCAATAAGTCTGAACTGAGATTTAAGCCCACGGTACCTGCCTATGTCCATTGACTACTTTGAAACCATTCTTTTGTTCTAGTTCATCAAGGATTTATTTTAGATTCTGTGTGCATTCTTTGGAACCATTCTTTTGTTCTAGTTCATCAAGGATTTATTTTATATTCACTCCCTGACAGTTAAGACCATCTTACATTAGTTATCACTGGTGAATTAACAAACAACCCCCAAATTCAGAAGCATAAAATCACATACATTTTCTTAGTGTACCCACTGATTAAGAATCAGCACCAGCAGCCATATGTGGTGGTGAATTCCTTTAATCCTAGCAAACAGAGGCAGGAAGATCTCTGTGAGTTCAAGGCCAGCCTGGTTACATAGTGAGTTCTGCGGCAGCTGGGGCTATATAGTTTCAGGTCAGCCGAGGCTACACAGAGAGACCCTGTGAATCAGTACAGCTCAGTTCATCTCTCTGACTCAGATGTCTCATGAGGTTGGAGTCAAGACATCAGAAAGGGCTGAAGTTTGATGGGCTCAGCTGAGGAGGGATATGTTGCCCAGTTCAGTTCCAAAGTTGGTGGCAAGCCTCAGTCCCTCACCAAGAAAATCTCTGTCCACGGCTTCTTCACAACTTGGCAGCCGGTTTCTTTCAGGGAGGCAATTACAAAGAAGCAGGAGACAGTGAGCACCCATCACAAAGCCCATTTTTTCATTGCGCAAACTTGGGAGGGACATACTGTCTGTCCTACTGTATTCTATTTGTGAAAATCAAGTCAATAAAAGTAGCCTACATTTCAGAGGAAAGGAGACAGGATATGACTATCAAGGGTCAGGAATTACCAGACAACAGTTTAGAGGGTGCAGGCTTCAGTTTATAAAGAACTTTTGATCCAGTTATCCTGGCTGTTCCCCAAAAGGCAAATTGTCTCACCTTGTTATGCCCTGATTTCTTCTGAGTTGAAATGTTTCCTTAGTAGGAGAGGGTGGTTCAATAAGACCTAGGAAACTAATAAATCTTACAAACCTCAGGAATCTCATGAAAGTTACAAGATTCACAAGGCAGGTCCTCAAGGTTATAAAAGCTGCGATGGGGTTATAAAAGTTGGGGTGGGGAGACTCCTTTGTGGAGCTGACTAAATCCTGCAGGGAGCTGCATGGATGGAACACTCTTGAGTGCCCACACTGGGATGGGTTTTTCAGGCGGGCTTTTCAGTGATATACCCAGCAGCCTTGGAGTCATCCATGCTCCTGCAAGTAACCTCAGTGAGCTCATTGGTTCATCAAGTTGAACTTGGGTGGAATTTACTTCTGTGGTCTGTCACAGTTGCCCTATTTGGGGTGAATAGACATTTGCTCACATTTACCCAGAAAAACCAGGCCTCTGCTATTTGGGGCTTGGAGGGAGATTCTGTTGCCCCATTGCTGGCCAAATTGTGGAGGGTGCAGGTGGAGAAAAGAACAGCTGGAAAGTCTTATTTAAGCTTCCCGTCACTTCTGCTAGTGCCTCAGGTCTCATCTCTTACTGTCCAGTTCTGTCAGTGTCACAACAAATGGCACACGCTTCCTTGTGGGAGGAAATCCCAGGGGGGAAAAATCTAGGGTGGGTAGCATTCCTTCAGCAGCTATTCTGTGTAAACACAGGGCATTCAGAGATGCATAGGCATAGGGAGACGGAGAGGGGGAGGGGGACAGAGAGAGGGAGAGAGAGAGATGTAGAATAAGCATCGTAAAGATTTGATCACTAGGCCCTTTTGCCACCCCACCAAGCTGTCCTGATTGATAAAGCATCATTTATTACTTGGATCTCTGCAGTACTTTCCAAGCTGATTTCTGTTATCTATCCATCTATTTACTCTGCTGCTGAGAGATCTTTCTGGACAGCAAATCTGTCAAGGTCAAAAGGCCTGCCCATCTGATCTTGGGGAAAAGCCAAGCCCTTGGATGGTCTCCAAGACCCTAAGCACCAGTTCAGTTTCACTTTACCTCCTGCTCTGGCTTCAGCCATACCACAGGCTCTGTGCTGCTAGAGGTACCTGTACCATTGGAGATACCTACCAGGAGGCAGTGCTGCCTTTGGCGTCTAGCAGCTGATCCATGCAGCCACTTCCACAAGGAAGTATTCTCAAATTGCCCTTCTCAACACATTTTCCTCCCAGAGATGGATTGCTTATACTTGTATTCTGTGTCCCTGAGAAAGTGGACACTTCCAATCGAGGATCTTTGTTTACAGTCGATGGGGATCTGGGTCAATAAAGACTGTGGAGTGGGCCTGATATCAACTCTGGAATCAGGCAGGACACCCTGGCCAGAATCTTCGTTTTCCCAAAGGAGCACAACTCTGGCCACGCCCTCTTCCTTATCTCTACGCCCGCCCACGCTGGCAAGGAAGCCACCTAAGGTCAGTGCTGTTGGCCTTCAGAGCAGCGGTCCACCTCCCAGGCCTCAGGTGGGCGGGGAAGGCCTGGTGAAGCACGTTGCGGCATGAAATTGGACTTTGAAAGACGAATTGGAGCCTGGTCGCAGAAATAGTATGGACATGTGTGTGTCTACGGAAGGGAGGCTATCAAGCCTCTTCCTTGGTGCGGTTTCCCACGTGCCTAGAACAGGCACCAGAGCTATCTGGGCGTCTCCTCCCTTCACCCCCGCCCCCAGGGGCACCCACCCGGGCTCTCCAGGCACGCTTGAATGAATGGGGGAGGACCCGCGCGCATGAATGAGCTCGTGGGTGAGCGAGTGCCCCCGCCAGTCGGCAGAAGAGTGAATGGCGACCACACCGCTTCGGCCGAGGGGCGCGGGTTCCACTTCCCTCTCCTACCAGGTGGTGGCCTCCAGAAGGTGGTGGCGCCGACAGCGGCCCGAGCTGGGACGGCCCGGGCGCGGGATGGTGGGGGAAGGGGCGTTCCCGGCGGCCGCGCCTTCCGCGGCTATTGGATTAGTGGCCTTCAGGGATGAGCTCAGCCGGATCGGCTTTCAGCTGCAGCCTCCGGGCCGGCCGGGAAGGCGGGGAGCGGGCGGCCGCGGAGGAGGAGGGGAGGCGGCGGCTGCAGCATCCAGAGCTGGCCGCGGAGGCCAGCGCGCCCGGCGCACAAAGGCGCTTAGTCCCTGGGGACCGTGACGAGCGCACCGCAGCCCGGGCCACAGCTGCAGCGAGCGCGGCGTGCGCCCGGGACGCTGGGGAAGAAGCCGGGTGCTCCGGGGACCAGCGGCCGAAGTGCGGCCCGTGCGCCCTGAGCGCGGGACTCGCCGCCCTCCAGGTCAGGCGCCAAGCTTCGGCCGCCTCCGCTCGCTCCTGAGGTCAGCGCAGTCTGGCGCGTCGCCATCCTGGGCCCTACCCTGACGCCCTCTCGTCGTGCCTGAGCACCAACTTCACCAAGAAGGTCCCCAACTCCGGGTCACGGTGCGTGGATTGAGGGCGCTGCTGCTGGGCATCAGCCGGGAGGACACGCTGCTGGCTGTGCAGAGGAAACAGGAGCATCGGTGGGGTCGCTCTGGCGCCTCGGAGTGGGCGGCGGAGGCAGCAGACCTTCTCCCGGCTCCGGGACCTGCCAGCGCTGGGGATTCCTCCTGGGCAGGCGCTCGCCCTCTCTTTTATGGTAAGTATTCTCTAGCTTCTGGTAAGGAGCGATCTGGGGCAGCCACCGGTCCCAACCGGTGTTCTTGGGGTCTCTCTGGTCCCTCCCAGTTCCCGGGAAAGTCTGAGAATTGTGGCCTTGCCAGTTGATTAGTTTGCGCACAGCCCTGGGGTCGTTGGGCTGGGGCCAGTCTCTGGTACCATGCGGTCGATACCTGCTGATTCTCTGTGCAAAAGACACAAGCCTCCGGCCTCCAGGCTGGTTGGGTTTCGGTCCCACATCATTCGCTGGGGTGACCTTGGGCAGGCACCAAACCTCGGTTTCCTCATCCGTTAGATGGGCATGATAATTGTGCCCCTTTCCCCAGTGTGTTGGGCTGAACTGTGGGGTGCTGCAGAGACCTGTGCCTGGCACCCAGGAAGCACTCCATCAGTTGTTAGCTAGCGTTGTGAGCCCAAGCGTATCATCCAACTTTCCAGAGCTGTAGCAGCTCCCACTTCTCTGAGCCGAGGATAGTAATTCTTGGGGGAAGGCGGAGGAGGGGGGCAGAGTGGGGGGGTTCTGCTCCTCTGTGGGATTCCGAGCTGCGGAAGTAAAGCGCCTGGCACGCAGTAGGAGTTGGTGAAGAGGTGACGGTTGTTACCGTTTATCTCAGACACTGGCAGTGAAGACTGATTGCCTGGCCCCAGAGCTGCTAGCGGCCAGTTCCGGGCCTGGCTGGGAGACAAACTTGGAGCGGATCACCAGCTTCAAGAGTCCTGGGCGCTGGGCTCTGGGAAGCATGGAGGAAGCCAGAGCCCAGTGCGCCGCAAATGCGTCCACGTTGGTCGCATGGGCCGGGAGCCAGGAGAGGACACGGAGCCCCAAACCTCTGGTTTGGAGAGACCAGGGGAGAGTCGCTCCCGCCGCCCCATGGCCAAGGGCTGGCTGCTGCGTCCAGGAAGGGAGAAAAGGACACTTTTGTACTACCGTCTTGAGGATATCCATAACTGTTGGTTCTGCAGTCAGGGTTTGGGTTCGAATTCTGTTCCATCACCAGCCGGCGATATGACCTTGAGCAAATTCTCTGACGTCCGCAACTCTTCTGAGCACCCACCTTCATCCTCCAGGATTTAGAGTGTGAACTAGGAGTTCACTCCTATTAGCCTCCCACTCGTATTCTGTCCCCCGAAGTTTGATGAGCTGAATCTGAAAGAGGGGAAGTGGCTCAGGGAAAGCTAATTAATTCGAAGGAGAACTCTGCCCAGTGGGAAGGGATCAGAACACTTGCCTGCCGCTGAGGCTTTCCTCATTTTGGCACCTCTGTCCTCCATCTAAACCCTCCAGTTTCTGTCTCTCAAGCTGATGGGGGAAAGGGGGTTGTTCCTCAAGTCCTTTCCTCTGGACCCTCCCCAAACCCTTCAGTATTTGGGGGGAGGAGCTGCAAATAAACCCACTTTATAGAAAAATTAAAATTGTAGCATAAACATGCTTTATCCAAGTCCACAGCCCCTAAGACACATACCCTGATTCCATGGTTTTGTTTTGCTTTGCTTTTGTTTTGTTTTGTTTTGTTTTGTTTTGTGACAGGTGCAACCTGCAGCCCCAACTGGCCTGGAACTCCCTATGGAGACAGGCTGGCCTCAATCTCAGAGATTCACCTGCCTCTACCTCCCAAGCGCTGGGATTAAAGGCATGTGCCACCACACCTGGCCTCCATGGGATTTTTAAAATTTTCATTAATTAATTTATTTTTATTTTATGTGTATGAGTATTTTGCCTGCATGTAAGTAAATGCACCTGGGTCATGCAATGCCCAAGGAGGTCAGAAGAGAGCATTGGATTCCCTGGAACTGGAGTTATGAAGGGTTGTTAGCCACCATATGGGTGCTGGGAACAGAACCTAGGTCCTCTACAAGAGCAGCCAGTCTCTTAACTACTAAGCCATCTTTCCAGCTCCATTCCATGTTTTAAATTTCCTTTAACAATGGCAATAAAAAGAATTTAAGTCACTCTTGGCAAGTGGCAAGCAAAATTCAACCTACCAGTTCACCTGGCACCCCTTCAATTTGCATTTCTCTTTCATTTTAAAGTCTGATACATTCAATGACATTAAAATAAAATCTGCAAGGAAAAGAAATTACCAGAAGCAGTCAAAAGACATATAGTAAACTGGGGAAAGAATTGCTACTCCTATTGAAATGGTTTCATCTATTTAAATGCTTTATAAGATTCTTTTGGGGATGTGTTTGAGCTGGGAATGGAACCCAGGGCTTTGTGTATGCTAGACATGTGCTACACCCCTGAGCCTTAGTCCAAACTGTGTAAAAGAGTCTTCAAGTCAACTAGCAAAATCCCCAAAGGACAGGCTATAGACAGCTCACACACTCGGTGAAATAGAAATAACATGAAACCCTTTGTGCCCTATCTCAGTCAGTGAGGAAGAATGTGTGTTAAGGCTATAAGATTCAATTTTTTAGACATAAACTGATAGTTATAACTATCCATCAGTAAGAAGCAGTTACCTTTAAAATTGAAAATAGGTCGAATTCCTCCCTAGCTAAGACCTCGCCCAGGCTGTTCACAATAAAATCTGGATGTGCCAGGCTAGGCTTTCCAGGCCTGGTTACTGATGACAGCCGCCTCTTTTCATCACTTGCTTCTCCCTCAACCCCTGAGCCCTGGCCTAAGATCTTAAATCTTGGTTTTGTTCCATTCCTCCAAAGGCTTATTCCCCTGCTGTTCTTCAACCCTTGGCTGGTCATAGGACTGGACTGGAACCTTCTCACCCTACACAAAAGCCTGTCCTAGAGGCGTCTTTCCTGTCCCAGGAAGTGGTCAAGGTTCAGGCCCATGAGAGCTCTTTGCCCTTTGAGGAAAAGGACCAGTGCAACTCACCATGCCCCAGTTTTTTAATTTTTTCTAAGCTGCCTGGCTCATTGCCACACTTCGGTGCTCCCAAAAGGTCCCTCCTCTCTTGGCACAGGAAGAAAAGATCTTCAGGAGCCCCCCACCCCCATCCCCAGCTACAAGCCAAGGGATATGGAAAATTAAGAGGGTGGAGGGACCTAGGTCAAAATCATCGGAAGCCTATCTTGGTAGTCATTTAAAAAAGGTATGTAACATATGCACTTAACTTGTGTGAACATGATCACTCACACTTAGCAAAAAAGATCAATAATTAAAAATTAAAAATCCAGCAGCACATTTAAATGAAATATAGTTCCTGCATAAGCTAACTGGCTTTCTGCTGCTTCTCAGAAACAAGGGTCTCAGAAACAGGCTTCTTAGAAGCAGGAATCTAACTCATTCTTTGGGAAAGACCCCCTCAATAAGTTACCATACTTTGTGGAGTTTGGATTGCATAGGATTCTTGCTTCACATATTGAGTTTGGTAATTAATCCCCATTTAAAATGTATAAGTGAATTGTGGAAAAAATACCTACTGGTAAAAACACAAAATGTAGTGTAAATGCAGAGTATTCTCTCTTCAACAAGCATTTCTTTTAATATTTTGAGACAGGGTCACACTTTGCAGCCCAGGCTGGATTAGAACTCACAGTGTAGCCCAGGCTGGGCCTCAAACTCTTGCACTTTTCACTTCCTCCCCCAAGTGCTGAAATTGCATATGTGTGCCATCACACCTGGATTTAACAGATACTTCTAATGCAGACAGGTAGTGTGTATAGGACAGGTCTAGGAGGCAGGTGGTAATTGGCTCACCTTCAAGAAAACAGCACATGGTGCAGGAGACATCAGTGGGACTAAACAGCTAAGATGAAGATACCATGGGGGAGAGAGAAGAAGATACAGTGGGATGGAGGGTGCCATGGGGGAGTTGAGGGCATGTCAGCAGGCAGAGAAAGCAGGCAGGCCCCAGAAGGCAGGGGTATGAAAGGGTGCACCAACCTGAGGAGAGCCTGTCACCACTGGTTGGAGGTGGTTATTAAGGGGAAGCTGACTATGGTACAAAAAACCAAGAGCAAGTCTCGGGGACCTTGGGTGCCAACCTAACGGGTGCATGTTTGAACAAGCAGGTGAGTGGTCAGCTTGGCAGCATGGAGGGTGGGTTAGAGGGCAAAGATGAGGATCTCAGACCCTCTTAGGAGACTGCTGCAATAATCCTGGTAAGGTGTGATGTAAGAGGAAGTAGAAGGCATTGGGGGAGGGGCAGGGGTGAGACAGGCAAAGTGGAAAGCTTGGAATGGAGGAGACGGGCAGACAGCAGAAGTGAAGGCCTGTGAAGAGGGTTAGGGTTAGGGTTAGGGTTAGGGTTAGGGTTAGGGTTAGGGTGAACTTGGGGTATGGAAGATGGAAGAGGCTGAGCTTTGCCCAGCACGAGTGTGGGCCCTGAATGTCCTGTGGTGTTCAGAAGGTGGACATGTGCACAGTGGGAGGCTTAGGAAAGCAGCTCTACACGGTCACCCAAAGGTCACCCACATCTAGAGTAGCCAGGGGCCTCTAGTGGGTGATCTGGTACTGGGGAGGGCAGGCAGGGCTAGAGACATCTGTAGAGGCCAGAGTTGAAGAGAAGAGGGGGCAGACGACTAAAATGTGACTATGGTGCTGCCCTTATGGGGCAGGCAGGAATGTTGCTGTGGACATGCCACCACTGGTGCCGTATGTGCAGGAGCAGCCAGAGTAGTGCCAGTGCCACCCGCCTGAGTTGTGATTCTGTGAATTGTCATTTATGGTGAGCCAGACCTCTGCCTTTTCCAGAAATGAGTGGGCTTGGTCCCGTTAGTGAGCCCATTCCTTGGGCTGGAGCAGTTGTCTCCCATGAATGTCCTTCACTCCTGTCTTCCTTCCTCCCTCTCTGCTCTCTTTCTCAATTACACCCAAGAGATGCTTCAGGCTTAACAGAGGGACCCTTACTTAGGTCCCTAGTGCAAATGCCTAGATAAACCCTGAGGCTTGAATAGTCCCATTTTTCTTTCAGGAAACCTGTTTTCAGACAAACAGTTATGTCCACCGGGTGCCATTCATCTTGGGAGATAAATGAGAAATTGGACATGCCGATTACTGTGTTCTTTTAATAGAAG